TTCTCATCATGCATGACATCATTTAGATTCGGTTTTCATTTTATTGTTTGTCCTGTTGGTTATATATTACACTTTTTTCAATTATTGTAGAGTATCAAGAATAATTCGAGCGTAAAATGTGAATTTGCTTAATATAACCTTGCGATTTCAGTGTTACATCCACCTGATGCTGTGAGCTGAGGAGACATAAAGCTGCATCTTATTTTATGTAAAATATTTATTATTTTTATTGCAGTATATCAGCTATTTTATCCACATAAATGTATTTTCATTATTTCATATTGTTCGGATATATTTCATTTCTCCATTACATACATATATTTACTTTATATAAATAAATACTGGGTTGAGAGGGAGCCTCAGGGTATCATTTGACCTGAAACTGGACGATGGAGTGGTATGACAACCGGAGTCTAAGAGGGAATAAACACTATCATTTTCTTTATCCTACAGATTCTATTGTGGTGGTGTGAATTCTACTCCAACAGTTTCAGGGAGATTGATGCGCCCTTTCTAACAAACCATCCTGTAGGAAGCTTAATAAGTATTGCGAATTGCGTTATTCGATTTGTTGGATCGTATCGTTGCAAAGAGATTCTTAAATTCCCGTGGATTTCGCGTAAGTGTCTCTACTTACGGGTCCGACCCTCCGTTTTTGGCCCTTCATACAGCGATATTGTGAATTCAGATCGGTAGCTCAAATTGATCTTGCTATTAAGTGGAGCTGCATACAAGACAAGATCTTTGAAGGAATGGTGGCTACCTTACATACATACATATATACGTCGAAATTTTCTAAAAAATCTAAGGAATAAAAACTGAAAATCTTTGATTTTTTATGATTTTTTTAAAATATTTTTAGAAAAATAAAAACGTTCCGGAACAAAAAATATTTTCAAGGTGGTAATATAAGAAATTTTTGTTTTCGGTGCGTTTTTATTTTTCTAAAAAATATTGGGAAAAAATATTAAAAAATCAAAGCAAATCAGTTTTTTCCTTAGATTCTAGATACATTTACATATACGAATATTTTTTCTAACTTTTCATGAAAACAAATTGGATCTTCAGCAAAACCAAAAGGTCGATGTTTTGTGGTTTTAAGAATCTTACTTTGTGCTATGTTGACTTATAAAAATGTTTTTACTCGTGAATTTGTTTTACAAAATTGGAAAAATGTGATTTTCTAAGAATTTTAATATCTTTTCCCAATATTTTTAGATAAAATAATCAAAATGTAATCCCATGAACATATATGTCCCTAAAATATCCAGCAGTACAGCTAACGATCTTGTTCTCTGACGCGCATTTTCAGACGGATTAGTAAAAAAATAATAATTTCAGACTTTGACTTCTCCGATTTGCATGAAACTTTGGATAATTGATTGTTATGCCCAATCGTTCACATTTGAGCTAAAATTCAGCCATATCGAGTCTCATAAAAAAAACCTTTAAAATTGCGTATTTGATATTTTCAGCAAATCATAGCTCTAAATACCACTTCCAATCGAAATGACGTCTGAGACAATGTTGTAGGAAAAAATAACGTGCATTCAGATAAAAATATACATGGTTATAAATTTAAGTGACCTTAGGTAAAAAAATCCATCAATGTGATAAAAACATAAATAACATAAAATAGCCCTTCTTCAAAATATTTGTTTTTAAATATTTTCTTTAAATAGCTATCATCTGTGAAAACATCAAGTTTTTGTTTTTCATTTTTTGTTAACTTTTAAGTGTCCAACTTGAAAAGAAAAAGATAGCATATTTCAAAAGCTTTTTAATGAAAATTATGCAATCAATATTGAAGAAGGTTATTTTTGTTGTTTAAGTCCTTATAAATGTTTTGTATTTTTTACCCAAAATTACTTGAACTTTTTGCCATGTATATTTTTTCCTGAATAGTAATTATTTGTCCTGCAACTATGTCTCAGACGTCATTTTGATTAGAAGAGACGTTCTCGAGTAATAATTTGTTGAAAATTTTTGAATACGTTATTTTGAAGAATTTTGCAAGATTCAATGTGGCTGAATTTTAGCTCAAATGTCAATAACCATAACAAACAATCATACAAACCGAATAATGTCGCATCGGATCGATTTGTACTTTGGCGTGGAACTGCTCTAGTGTGATTTGATGTGTCCCATTACGACTTTTGGCGCATACATGCTGTTTTCCACTTTCTCCAGGGTACCAACATCATCCGGAAGATATCCGAACATGGCCAATGTGTTCCTGAGTTCTCATAATGAAATTTACCATGAATGTTCGTCTTACCCCAGGCACCTGTCCGTTTTCTCCGCACCTAACAAATGATGAGCATTTTGGACCACTTTTAATGTTTAAAAAATGTGTTAAGTTTTATGATTTAAAATCAAATGGTATATGATGCTTCCGTTAGTATGAGTTTAACTCCCAGAATGCTGGCAAAATACTTTATATCTTAACGAAGAAACAATAACATTTCTTAAAGTGTCCGTCTTACCCCGACTTTCCCTAAGATGTTCAGGAAGTTCGTCCAGCTGCTTGGCTTCGGCAATGACATTGACACCATGGCACAGAACTTTGAAACGATGCACAGTGAGGCCATTCTGAAAAAAATACGGTCGAACCTAAACGTCAGAAAAGGTGAGAAAAACCTTTTTTAACATTTAGGTATATTGAAAGATGCTGCTTAAGATGTTTCTCCACATCTTTTGAAATAATTACCAAAGCTTAAGCTAGCATTACACATCTGAGTCTTGGTTCACAAACATTCACATTTTTGAAAAAAAAAATTGTTTATATATTGGTCATTCTTGCTTTAAATTTACTACAAACCCATTATCATGAAAATTCAGAAAGTTATAATTTGGATGTCTAGTACTAACTAAGAAAACATGTGGGTGATTATTTAAAAAGATGCGGAGTAATATTTACAGCGGCTAACCAAGAATGGATTAAATAAACAGTGCTTAATTTTTTTTGTTTAAATATCTCAACAATGTGTGACTTTTTATGAAATCTGACGGTATGTATGGAATCGTAAATAAATTTAGAAGTCACTATTGATCGAAACATCTAATTTTTGTTCAAACCAATTCGAAAAAGAGAGGTCAAGTGCGAGTTGTGCTTAGTAGGACAGAAATTAGATCTTCTTTTTTGTCGGGGCATTACGCAGTTTTTGAATAATCTCATTGCCAATAGCCCATCCAGCAGAGAGTAGTGCATTGTCTCTATAGGCCATTAAAATTCGGCCTTTCGCGGTCATCTTGGAAAACGGTTTAATGATTCAGATTTTAAAATTTTGCACAGTGAGGTACGGGATTGACATTTCAAAATGCTTCTATTTATCAAATTAAAGGGATCTATAAAAAATACATTTTGTATTTTTTTTATAACATTTGATTTATTCAGCAATCACTTTGGGTTTTCAGTATGTTATTAACCCAAGCAACACACATGTTCTACACAGTTTAATTAACCCTTTCTATTACTGATTTTGGTTGTATAGCAGTTTACTCAACATAATTATATGAATTTGTGTTACTTGGGAAGCAACATTTCAGCTTTATTTTCGAAAATTTTGCAGCCCAAAATATTATGTTTTTTTTTCTGCTGTTGGCAGCCCTGAACGGAAGGAGAAAGGAAATTTGTGTCTAAAATCTAACGTATTTGTGTCTAAAATCTAACGTATATTTTTTTTTTAATTCGTGAAATTTCCAAAATGGTGGCGTTTGAAAAAAAAGATCTATTTTAATCGCTACTGAAATGCGTATAAAAAATCGAAAAGTTTGAATGTCCGAAAAAATCTTATATTAGATTTTAGATATTTTTATAACATCGCTTACAGAAGAATCAGCTAAATTGATCGAATAATCTGAGATCCCTGTGTCGCAAGGTGAAAAAAATGTATTTATCGCGTTTAAAGATTTGAGTTATATTTAAGCGCGTTTAGCACAAGACTAACAGCGATTAACATTCATTCTGCTATTCTATACACAATATTCTGGAAGGTATAAGGATGTCGAAAATGCAAAACAAAAATCGATTTTTTAAACCAATCAACAAGTGTCTCCCCTTGTTATTGATTTTTTCGATGATTCTAAAAATAAAAACTCAAGGGTTACTCAATAGACGTATTATATTATAAATTAGGAATTATGATGAAATGGGTTCAAACAGGTAGATTACGACTTTTTATCCCCCCCCCCCAATCCAATTAATTTAAAGTTCTTAAATCGAAAAGAATAACCGTTATAAAACTTCTCTCTCACACCTGGCCGTACAAAATTTAGAAATCTACATCATCAAGCCAGTTTTTAAGATGGCCGCTAGAGGTGAAATTTTTATCACCTATCAAAACGTAAAGTATCGCCACACATTCTATGCGTCATTGTTTGTATACATTGTCCCTGGCAACCAGTGTTCCACACTCTGGATCACTTCTCTCATGCGCTCTCGTTGCGGAAATGGCGGGAAATTGCACCCCATGTGGATTTTCCTTCAACTCTCCCCAGTTTCTCAGTGGGGTTTAGCAGCTTCTACCGAGGGAGGGTGCGAGCATAAATGAGAACGTTTGGCATTGAGCAAGCGTATATGGTGGAATCTTTCAAGGATGTATGTTTTTATGTTGGACAGGGTCTAGACTTGGATCCGCTCGTGCCAGCTCGGTCAGTCTGTGAGTGAAGTTCGGGCTCGTCGGTCGCAAGCAACTAGTCGCTCCTGGTAGCAGATCCGCGATTCGGTCGTTGTCCTGGTCCATTACTAATACTGGTACTTGTACTACTACTACTACTACTACTACTACTACTACTGTGTTGTTCCTAGGGTTCAACCCCGGGGGTTGATGCAGCTCAACTAACACACTAACAACAATAATAATAACATCAGCAGCAGCGGTAGCAGCAGCCGAGCTCCAAGTCTGGCTCAAATAGGTTGAAGGAGCTTGCAGTGAGTGTTTGCTTACTGAGGAGGGATCTCAGGTGTGCGTTGTGGAGTTGGGGGGTGTATCTTTCTGTGTGACAAAAAGTGCTTCCAGGGCTAGTGAGAGTGAAAGAGATGCTCAACATTCGCCCTCATCCGGTCGGGTGTTTGGCAGGCCTGCGATGATTGCTAATTTTTTACTTTTGCACGGTGCATCCTGCCGGCAGTTGCTGCTAGCCGATGGTTTCTGATGGTGGTGCAATCAAAAAGTAAAACCGTGAGCTGCTGTGCATCCAAGTGCACTGCCGGTGATTGGGAAACTGGGTTACGTAATCAGATTTAAGGGTTTTTAGAGCCCGGGAGATTCGATACGAGTGCGCGAGCGGGAGAGCACAAGTGCAAACTGGAGAGGAAATGAATCTGGTCGTCGTCAGTTGACACTGTAACCCTTAGTCAGCCAGTGCGCTTCCTTTTCGGTTGAGGGGTGGTAGTGATTCAGAGTGCAACTGTAGAACAAAGGAAGAAGTTTTCGCCACGAAGGCGATAAAGAAAGCGGTGTATGAATGTAGAGCCTACCGCGAAATCGACTTCCCAAAGCGAAGGTGAATATTTTGCTTCAGTGTGTGTAGGTGTGTGCCAGTAGAGAAAGCAAAAACCTGTCGTCGTCGTCGTCGGTTCTCGAATAGCATGTGCCTAACTAATGAGAAAAATAATCAATATCCCTTCGTTTTGGAAATTTCCCTCTCAGTGGTGGGTCGCTCGCTGCCGTGTGGGAAAGTAAGAGTGCACGGTGTTGGGGATAATATGCTGTTCTGAAGACGCTCAGCTGACGATTCTAGAATCAATGAATTCCCGGACAATTTCAGGGACGATCCAACTAAGGATGCAATGAACGGCAGGAGAATTTTTTTGAATAGGTAAGTATTTTATTCTTATCAGCCTTACATCATATCGGGTTCGTAGTGGAGATTCCGTGTCGGTGCCGTCTTGAGTGGGAGGCTGAGCTTGGGGTGGTTTGGGGTTGGTGCGATTGATTACGAAGACAGGTTTTGATGAATGGATGCTTCCAGTGGAGTGAGTGGGTTCTTCGAGTGCATTCGTTATCGCTCTGTGCTTTTATGTTTATAATTATATTATTTGTGGTCATGCATTATCTGTAACGTTCGCTAAAGATGTTTGTTAGTAAAAGGATCATTTATCATAATTCTTAAGGAGTTTTGTATATATTTTTTCAAAATGTATTAAAATTTCTACAATTGTGTTGAGACTTTTGAATATTTGTTCACAATTTTATACTGCACATCATATACTTTGAAATACGAAACTATTAGTGTTTAAAAATTCTTCTGTTATTTTTCACGTACTAGCCATTTTTGATAGTAATTTAAGAATTCTTTCTGAAGTTATGAGTTTAAATTATTCGAATGTATATAATTTCAAAGTTGACCTTTTTCGAGATGGCTTTGTGCTTTGCTATCAGAAGCTCAGAATGAACATGAACATGAACATGAACATGAAAGATTAAACTTTTTCTTTGTGAAACAGGAGGGGGTCCATTCCAGCTGCTATTTGGCTAATAAAAATTACCTACTAATAAGACATTATTTCGATATGGACAAATCAACGTCTTAGAGTGTATTGGAAAATTATAGTCTACCTCATTAGTTTGGTTTTCAAGGTTTTCATTCGCATTGATCTTGGGAAATTTCACTTATAGGTGAGAGCAAAAGTTTGCACTTAATTTTCTAAGTTATATATGTTTTCATAGTAGCTTCAAATTAGAGTTTGTAAACGTAAATAGATTGCTTGATAAATTCTAGATGACCATTTCAATAGGTTCTATCTACATTTATCGATTCTCCTCATAGACTTTCCCTTTTGATTACCACAGCTATGCAAACACATTTCGTGTTATTTATCGCTCAAAACGTTAGCCCTTATGTGCGTGGTAGATTGTTTGATTTTTCTACGCCGTGGTATTCAAGTGGGAGCTGAGTGCAAAAGTACAGGGGCGCACATCCCGTCGCACACATAACGGTTAGGCTTAGCAGGTAATGATTTAACTAAAAAAAAAGTTGATGAGTATAGAATTGGGGCCGGCTCCGGTGGTGTAGAGGTAGGCGTGACTGCTTTCTCACCCCAATGGGTCTGGGTTCAATCTCAGCCGAGGTCGGTGGGATTTTTCTGAGGCATAAAAATCTCTGGTCACGTCTTCCTTCGTAAGGGAAGCAAAGCCGTTAAGGTCCATGTGTTGTTGAATGGGTGCGACATCCTACGCAGGTGTGGAAGCTGCCTTCCTGCACATTCGATTGCCGTCAATGGATGGCAATCGATGTCCGTCGGTGATTGGCACTAGATTGCGGAACAGAGGCCGACGTTAAATAAAGGAAAAAAAGAGTATAGAATTGATCTCAATCATTACTGCAAAAAAAATCGTTTAGGTGTCCCTGGGAAAGTAGCCAGACTCTGGAATGAGAATGACAACCATCAAATCATATGAGAATATAAAAATAAATTCATTAGCGGTCAGATGAAGTATCCAGGACAACATTGGTCTCATTCGGATATGTTCCGGGTGGTCGTAGGAACAAAAGTCGAAGGACATAAGGTCAAAGGACAATACGAAACGAATAGACAAATGGTTGAAATTGGCAAAATGGATAAACTGGTCACATTGTTGGAAGATAAAATGGGTGGCTATCTCTCAAATATTTTTCCTTCTTTAAATCATGAGCAATCGACTAAATTTTCAATAGCGACCAAAAATATGCATTAGTACCGTTCAAATGACGCGTTCATCTAGATAAAATTGATAAATAGCAGATTTTTAGCGATGGGCCCAATCTTAGATCCATAGGCCAAAATTAGAGCCATTTCCCCTATTTGTTAAAAATTTGACATGATTAGAATTCCCAAAGTGAATTAAATGATTTAAACCAAAACAGGCTACCGTAGTTTTTTCACCATAGATAGACAAAAGTTCAAACTTTCAAAGGCAAATAATAACGCAAAAATCCACTAATTTCATTATGAGAAAACAAACATTCAAAAACAGTTTATTATTCATAGAAAATCGATTGAAACGCCCCAACCAACAGAGATAACAACTTAGTAGCGTCAGAAAAAATGTTTGCTTCCAGAAGTTCAGAAAGTGCTGACACAAAAATTTTGTAAAATCAATAAAAGGCTGACAAATGACTGGAATAATGCACCACCGGTACTTCGCGTACTTGAAGGTTATAAAATAGACCCGTCACGCAATTGAAACTGGTCCTTAGCCTCTTGCCTAGTAACTCCTATTCTTCGCGGTGCCGGCTGGGGTACGAGTAACCTTAGGGAAGATCGGGATACCAACCCCGGTGGGAACTTTGGTCGTATGCTGACAGGAAAGGGGGAGCTACATGCTTTTCGGAGGATGTGGCTTACAAAACCCGAGCGTATGTTCTCCATGTTAGGGGCGACTCAAACAGCGTCTGACTGGCATCCAGCGGCTGAATACGAAATGCTTCTCCACGAAAGCTATACCCTATATGGCAGTCCCATCACGGCGGATAGGAGACCTTAGGCCAACCATCTACTATGTCCGAAACCTTCAAATTGTTACAGAAACCTATAGTGAAAGATTACGAACTGATTTTATGGCAACGACTTTTAGCGCTAAACAACGGACAAGAATTGGAACATGGAATGTACTGACGCTAGCCCAACAGGGTAAACTGGCACAACTCGCCAGTGAGGCCCACCGTATGAAGCTAGAAATCCTGGGACTTAGTGAAGTCCGCTGGCCGAACTTTGGAGAACACAAGCTGCCTTCTGGACAAGTACTTTTATATTCTGCGCTCATCAAGTGGGAACGTATCAATGAGAGAATAATCGTTGCCAGATTCAGAACACGGGTCCGAAAGCTTACCATAATCCAATGTTATGCGCCAACCGATGCTGCCGAATTGCAGGACAAAGAGAACTTTTACAGTCAACTGAATGCTGTCGTGGATAAGACTCCAAGAGGTGATATCAAGATCTACACAGGCGACTTCAATGCGAAGATCGGCTCCGACAACTCGGACTATGAGCGCATTATGGGACGCCATGGTCTCGGAGATATGAGCGAGAACGGCGAGCTGCTTGCATAGTTTTGTGGCAACAACGACATGGCGATCGGGGGTTCGCTCTTCCCCCATCGCCCAGTGCATAATGTCACATGGGTCTCCCGTGATGGATATACAGAGAACCAAATCGACCACATCTGCATCAGCCGAAAATGGAGACGGAGCCTTCTTGATGTGATCCGCATACGCATTACGCGGGTTCAACGGCGGGAGGAGAGACTCGGGCGGCGATTCAACACACGCCGTCTGGAAGACCCAGCAATGAAGAGATTGTTCGTCGAAGAACTCGAGGCTCGCGCAGCTAATATTCCGGAAGGTGGCAGCGTAGAAGAACAGTGGACGAGCATCAAGAATGCCTTTATTGAAAAAAAGCGAGAACAACCTGGGTGAACTGCGCACTCAGAGGAAGGAGTGGATCACCGATGAAACCTGGAGGAAGATCGAGGAGCGGAGAGAAGCAAAAGCCGCGATAGAACGATCAAGGACTCGAGGAGCCAAAAACGAGGCCCGTCAGCGGTATTCGGCTTTACAGAGCGAAGTTAAGCGCTCTTGTATACGGGACAAGCGAGCGTGGGTGGACTCCCTGATATCTATGATGTTTCACGACGCCTGAGCGGGGCAAGGATGAACCCAAGGATGCCTGTGAAAGACGCGACTGGACAGAAGCAGCCATCCGAAGTATGAAGTCCAAAAAAGCCCCGGGGGTCGATCGCATATCAGCAGAGATGCTCAAAGCTGACCCCATGCTATCCTCACAAATGTTGCATCAACTATTCGTCAATATCTGGGACACCCAGACTTTTCCGGCTGACTGGATGCAGGGCGTCTTGGTAAAAGTCCCCAAGAAGGGGGATCCAACTGTATGCGACAACTGGCGAGGCATCATGTTACTGTGTATTGTTCTCAAAGTTCTGTGTAAAGTTATTCTCAATCGGATACAGGAGAAAATCGATGCGACTCTCCGGCGACAGCAGGCAGGATTCCGTGCTGGAAGATAATGTGTGGACCATATTGTCACGCTCCGCATCATCTTGGAGCAGGTCAATGAGTTCCAAGAGTCCCTGTACTTGGTATTCATTGGCTACGAAAAAGCTTTCGACCGACTAAACCACAAAAACTTGTGCGGTGCTCTGAGACGCAAGGGAGTCCCTGATAAGATCATCAACCTCATCGAAGTGCAGTACGAGGCTTTCTCATGCAGAGTGTTGCACAACGGAGCTTTGTCTGACCCGATTCGGGTAATCGCGGGTGTGAGGTAAGGATGTATATTATCACCGCTACTGTTCCTCATCGCAATCGACGAGATTATGGTTGGAGCCGTTGACCGTGTGCCAAACTGTGGGTTGCTGTGGCAGCCTATTACCATGGAGCATCTCAACGACTTCGATTTGGCTGATGATGTTGCGTTATTAGCACAACGGCGCTCTGACATGCAGAGTAAGCTCGACGACCTTGTGGAACGCTCCTCTGAAGCAGGTCTTCCCATCAACGTC